ATCATGCCTGAACAACTACATTAAGCTGTAGTTGTTCAGGTGACTATAGTGTCCCTTTAAAAAAAAAAAAAATGTGGGGGGCGTGGCCACGGACCGCATGGAAGCAGTCGCATAGAAGGAGAGCTCCGCCGAGATAGTGGGCCCCACAGCGTGTATCGCAGCAAATCCGCCACCAAACTCAGCCCATCTCACCGCCAACCCCATCCCGAACATAATGACGACTAAATCGTCAAAAAAATTAAAGCAAAAAACGATTGACTCACATCTGAGCTCGCAACAACCGGAGCACTCAGGAGACCAAGATGGCGTCGGACCGCATGGTTCACCCACACACGAGGCAGAAGGGGAAGACTCCCAAAGCTACCACAGCAGTGAAGCCTCCATCCCTACCACGAATGCCTCAGTGAGTACTATGCTGGATAAATTAAAATCAGCCCTATTCTCAGATCTCCAGCGCATAGCTGCAGACATTAGAGCTGACATACAAGTAATAGGGGACAGAACAGCCCATCTAGAAGAAAAAACGGAGGGTATCCTAACTGCTCACAATGAGCTTGCAGATGCACACACAGCACTGGAAAACAAAGTTAAATATCTGGAAGGAAAAATAGCAGATAATGAGGATAGGGACAGACGAAATAACATAAGAATCCGTGGTATACCTGAGAATGTCAGCCCACAGGATCTTACACATTATGTGCAAAAATTGTTCAAATCTCTGATCCCATCCATGACAGACGCAGACCTCCGCCTGGACAGGACCCACAGACTACCCAAGCCACGGCACCTGCCCGCTACCATACCAAGGGACGTCATAACCAGACTCCACTATTTTACGGTCAAGGACCAAATAATGCAAACGTCAAGACTCAATCCATCTCTACCAGAAGAATACACGGATATAAAGCTATTTATTGACCTATCAGCAGCCACGATGACCAAAAGACGCTCATTTACATCGATTACAACAGCCCTCAGAAACGCCAATATCCTATACAAATGGGGCTTCCCTACTAAACTACTCGTCAAACGCAATGGAGCAGACCGCACAATCCTCACGCCTGAAGACGGCATACAGATTCTGGAAGACTGGAACATCCCCATCCCTGCTTCACAGAGCGTAAAACAAAAGTCCGACACACCACCGCCACGAAAAATGGCGAGAGACTGGCAACAAATTCCATGGATCAACAATAATCCACAAGGCCGCAGAAACTACCAGCCTTGACCATCACCCTACCACGCTCCTGGACACGTAACTTATTGCACTTAAAAGTGTTGTATTGCTTTGCAGCTAATACTATTGATGTTGTATTACTATATGACTGGTTGGCACCATCCAATCTAAAAAAAAAAAAAAAAATGTTTTGATACCGCACAAGTGGCCACCTCACATAGGCCCACTGCTGGCGGAAAACCCACACTGCTCAACCTTCAATTGTTATAACTGATATTGTTTAGAATACAAGTGTTAAGACTGCGAATATAATTATCTATTCCACTTTATTTCATACCAAACTTCCACTGACCCCTAACGACGGCCCACTAGTGAGCCATTAAATACCCGTCTGCACACTGTTGCATCAGGCCCTCGAGGCTAACGGGCAAGTGTACATAGTTTAACCCCAACCTTATCCCTGTACCCAAAAAAGTCCCCTCTCACAGTCTCGGTAACAAACTTTAACGCCCAAAACACTCCATCACTGGAGAAGGTACATAAGTGTCTACCCGAATACCACCATAAAACCAAACAACATGCCACTAAAATTCTTCTCTCTTAATGTCAAGGGTTTAAATACACCCAACAAACGTAGACTAGCCCTCCAAGAGGCCAAAAGACAGGGGGCACAAGTGGCCTTTTTTCAAGAAACCCATTTTAAATGGGGATCTACGCCCAGATTCACCTCCCCTTGGTTCCCTGTAGATTATCACACTTGCTACCATAAAAAAAAAAGAGGAGTTTCGATCCTAATTCACAGATCAGTTGTCTTTGAACTCATTCGCAAAATCAGTGATAAAAAGGGCAGATATCTGATATTACAATGCCGTCTCAACAACCAACCGTATACTTTGATGAATGTATATAGCCCAAACGAAAGCCAACCTGTATTCATAGATAATATGTTTTGTCTCTTGTCAAGGTACAGCTTTGGGGAGGCAATTCTTGGAGGCGACACTAACTTTTTCCTGGACGCAAATATGGACTCATCCTCCTCCAAAAGGGTAACCTCCAAAACACTAACACAACGCCACAAACAAACATCCCAAATATGTCACACACTAACGACACACAACTTTATAGACCCATGGAGAATATCACACCCGGCAGACATAGATTATACCTGCTATACAGCTGCACACAACAGCTATTCTAGAATCGATAGATTCCTCATTAAGGCCACATCTCTAACAAGACTAATAAACACAGATATTGGTGTTATCTCCTGGTCGGATCATGCCCCCATCACCCTAACTCTAACCGAGCAATTCCCGTCTACCGGCAGATCAACCTGGAGACTCAATGAATCTCTGCTCAACGACCCAGTAATAATCTCACAGATTACCACAGGTCTACAAAACTATTTTACTGAAAACACACAATCAGATACCGCGCCAGAATACCTATGGCTAGCCCATAAGGCTGTGATACGGGGCAGCTTCATCAAACACGCAAGCCAAGCAAAAAAAACACGTCAAGTCCAATATGTAAAATTAATAGAAGTGATAACTGCACTTACACATAAAAATAAACAATCTCAAACACCCACTACACAAGCAGCCTTACTAAAAGCCCAGTCACAACTAAGAGACTTTGAACTGGCCAAAACCACTTACTTACTACAAAAATCCAAACACAAATACTTTACTTATGGTAACAAAGCCGGAGCAAAACTGGCTGCACAACTCAAACAAAAATCGGTCGCACCCAGGATTGCCTCCCTTATTGACAACAATGGTTCAAAAATCTTAGATCCGAAACAAATTGTAAACGAATTTGCCAACTATTACCACAAACTGTATAATCTAAAAGAGGACGAAACAGTGCAAATACCCTCCTTGACTACCATTGACGCCTTTCTGACAAACATTACCTTACCATCGCTTACACCAGACGACATGCACAAACTCAAACAACCGATATCCGCCGAAGAATTAGCTAAAGCCATAGCAGACCTACCGATTAACAAAGCACCAGGACCAGATGGTCTTCCGAACAGATATAAAGTATTCTCCCAACACATTACACCACACCTCTTAAACGTATACCAACACTGTAACGACACGGGAACTCTACCTTCAGAAATGCTGTTAGCCCACATCTCCACGCTACCCAAGCCAGGGAAACCCCCGAATATCTGCAAAAACTTTAGGCCAATATCTCTACTAAACAGCGACGCCAAACTATATGCAAAGATACTGAGCAACAGACTAGCCCAGATAATAGCACAACTGATTCACAATGATCAATCGGGGTTTGTTGGGGGGAGACAGGGATCGGACAACACCCGGAAAACCCTCAACATATTAACCTCAATGGGTAGGGGGTCGGTCGGGGGCCTCCTCCTAGCACTAGATGCGGAGAAGGCCTTCGACCGACTCAACTGGACGTACATGCGACAAGTGCTCTCCAAATATGGATTCCCTGCTGAATTCATTAAAGGAATCATGGCACTCTACGCATCACCAGCAGCTAAAGTAGCTCACGGTGGCTTCCTATCTAACCAATTCACGATCACTAACGGGACACGCCAGGGCTGCCCCCTATCCCCCCTCCTTTACATCCTATCGCTAGAACCATTGGCCCAAAAAATACGCACAGACCCTTGCATAAAAGGAATCACAATTCGAGGACAGAAATATAAATTGGCGCTATTCGCCGACGATATCCTGATAACGCTAGGGGACCCCCAGCGGTCTTTACCACCCCTCATGGAAACCCTAAAAACATTCGGCGACATCTCACATTACCGCCTGAATCAAGATAAAACCCAGGCCCTTCCCGTCGGACTCCCACTAGCCACCAAAACAATACTGAAAGATAACTACCTCTTTGACTGGAGAAAGACATCACTAACATACCTAGGCGTAAAAATAGCACCAACAATAGAAGAAATCCTGAAACTAAATTACCTCACGCTTCCCCAACAATGCAAAAGAGACTTACAAAAATGGTCTCAGACGCACATCTCCTGGCTAGGAAAAATTAACGCATACAAGATGATGTTACTGCCCAAACTTCTCTACATATTTAGAATGCTTCCCATCCAAGCCCCACAAACACTCCTCAACTCCCTACAAAACATCTGCAGCTCATTCATATGGGGAAACAAAAAAACGCGCATATCCCGCACCTTACTCTACAAACATCCTAAAAATGGAGGAGTAGGGTTACCCAACCTAAACCAGTATTATAAAGCCACGATGTTGGCATCGGGCATACTGATGCACTTAAATCGGGGTATCATACAATGGGTAGACATGGAAAGAGCCCAACTGGACAAAAACGCAACGCTCGACTTCCTATGGACACCGAAAAAACATAGACCAGACAAACCAATCCTATACCCCACCACAACACTGACCGTCCACATTTGGTCTAAATTCTTAGATACAGTAGGGGCCAAAGAAACATTCCACCCCAACGCACCTCTAACTGCCCTAAGAGCCATATCACCAGACATACGTCTACAGACATGGGTACATGCAGGCATTAGACATATTCACCAGATAATGCAATCGCAAGAAATATTACCCTTCACGGACATACAAACGAAATGGGAGTTGCCAACAAACGCTATTTTCACGTACCTACAACTAAAAGGGATCATCAACACACACGTTAACAAGCAACAACAACCCCCTGACCAGAGCCCCCTTCCAACAAAAGCAGTAATAGAAAGATGCTGGAAAGGCCCTATGAAAAAGAACAGTATTTCCCTCTGCTATAGGGCATGGGACAGTACCTTGCCCAACACGACACCGCATTGCAAAGCAATGTGGGAAACAGAATGCACTATCCAACTCACGGATGACGAATGGATTCACGCACTGAACGCCATATCTAAATGGACTAAGTGCTACACCCATATAGAAGCACATAGAAAATTACTGTACAGATGGCACTTAACTCCCTACACTCTCCATAAAATTTACCCCAATACGTCTCCTCTCTGCTGGAGATGTTCGGCTGAGACAGGCACACATACGCACATATGGTGGGCATGTCCCAACATACAACCCCTCTGGGTAGAAGTACAAAACACTCTAAATGCCCTTAATGTCCCACACATTGGAAACAACCCCGAAATATTCCTACTTATGCGTTTCCCCCCATCGTTTAAATATGCACACAAACAACTAAGTGCAATCACCATCCTGGCAGCTCGAAATTTAATAGCCTGCAACTGGAAATCCACACACTGTCCTACCAAAGCCAAATTATGGGATAAAATACAGCAATACTACACGTACGAACGTATGACTGCCCCTGACGCAAAAACAACACAAAGATTCCACACGACCTGGGCTCCCTGGGTAACTTTATACGACAACAAACAATAAGAGCTGTGTGACAAACGGACAGACACCCCCAACCCGTGACAACCCACAGAATGGAAGCCCACGATAAGCATGAAAATGTTGTATAAGACGCTCAATGAACGAGCGCATAAAACACCTCCGCAACTGTGTAGACTCCCCCATGCAACTACAAGCTGTATGGGAACCCTTGTACATGTTACTTGTTACCGTGCTATATGTTATACCTATTGTTGCCTTGTATCCACAACTTTTTGTATTCTTGTGATACTACATATCACCCACTGTTCAGTTTTTGTAAACAATGAAACAAAATCCTAATAAAAACTATATTGGAAAAAAAAAAATGTGTTTAGTATTTTGTTAGTTTAGTCTGTTAGTGTGAAACATGCAGCGCATGTACAGCTTGGAGGAGGCATATGCCTTCTTGGCGTCAGACTCTGACGCCACTGACACTGAGTCTGATTTTGACCCAGGTTTAGCAGCACGTCTAGTGACATGTCATCTGTGTGTGAGCCAGCTGCTAAAAGAAGCTGTGCTTCCCCTGCTACGCCGAATGTGGAGGAGGACTGGGTACCTCTACAGTCAGCTGAGCCCAACATCCCTCCTTTTAGTGCCAACGCAGGCATTAATGTGAATGTGGTTGACTTCTCCCCTATACAATATATGGAGTTATTTTTAAGGGATACCATCTGGGAGGAGATTGTTTCCCAGACTAATTTATACGCTAGCCAATTTACTGAGACCAATCCATGTAGCTATACAGTCAGGGAGCATGCTTGGCATCCCACAGATGTCCCTGAACTTAAAAAATTCTGGGCTCTTACAATGCTCATGGGGATGATAAAGAAGCCATCAATCCGCTCTTACTGGAGCACCAACCTAATTTGTTCGACTCCTATATACTCCCAAACAATGCCTAGACCAAGATATGAGCTGCTGCTGAGATACTTACATTTCAACGACAATACCCTCTGTCACCCCAGAGGTCACCCCCAATATGATAGGCTTCATAAAATACGCCTACTGGTAGACCATCTTCAGAACAGATTTTCTGAAGTTTATACTCCCCAACAAAATGTATCTATTGATGAATCCCTTATGAAATATAAAGGGAGATTAGGGTTCAAACAGTATATCCCCTCAAAGCGGTCTAGGTATGGCATTAAAGTGTACAAACTGTGCGAGAGTGAAAGTGGCTACACATTTGCCTTTCGTGTATATGAGGGGAAAGATGCTCAACTGAACCCTCCTGGCATTCCTGACTCTCTGGGGACAAGTGGGAAACTTGTTTGGGACCTACTGATCCCCTTGTTCAATAAGGGTTACCACCTTTATGTAGACAATTTTTACAGCAGTGTCCACTTGTTTAAAATTATTTCTCGTTTGCAGACACTGGCCTGCGGCACTGTAAGAAGAAATGCCAAGGATTTCCCCACACCTCTCATAGAGGCCAAATTAAAAAAAGGTGAATGCAAAGCCCTGCGCAAAGTTGAACTGCTTGCGCTAAAATTTAAGGACAGGAAGGATGTTCACATGCTAACAACCATCCATAACGAAGGCATGTCAGACGTCACTGTCCGAGGCAGGGTACAGACAAAACCGGTTTGTGTCAGGGCTTATGACAGGCACATGGGGGGTGTTGATTTGGCTGATCAGCTGATGCAGCCATATCTTATCTTAAGAAAGACAAAAGCCTGGTATAAAAAGGTGGCTATCTACCTGTTGCAAGTAGCAACACATAATTAATTTTTACTCTTTAAAAAAATGAATCCAGGAAGAACCACCTATCTCCAATTTCAGCTCAAGCTGATTTCCACAATAATTTATGGAGATGGTCAAATTCCAACTACGGTGCAAGAGGAGTCCAGACATTTTATTTTTAAGATACCGCCAACTGCAAAAAAAAGAAATCCCCAGAAACGTTGCCGGGTCTGTTATAAAAAAGGGAAAATGACAGACACCCCTTTTCACTGTCCCGATTGCCCTACAAAACCTGGACTGTGTATTGGAGCATGTTTTAAGGTCTACCACACAGAAAATAAATTTTTATGATATTTGTTCCTGATTTATTTTGAAATCAGCAAATTTCTGTTAGTCGGTATCCTTCCCCCAAATCTCCAGTTAGATTCTTTTTGCAGGAGTTAGTTTACAGATTGCTGCTAACGGAAGTTTTAGTCTCATTTAGTCTGTTTTTATCAGTTTTAGTCTGTTTTTAGTATAAAATAAAATAAAAAAATTGTGTGTTAGTAACTCTGTGTTAGTCAGACTCGGACGCCACTGACATTGCGTCTGATTTTGACCCAGGTCAGTTTTCTGACACATCTAGTGACTAGTGATGTAGCGAACCGTTCGCGAACTTGCCGCGAACGGTTCGCAGCGGTTCGCAACGAACCGTTCACGGCGAACTCTGGTCAGCTGACACATCCCTGCCAATCTCCGGCAGACCCTCCCTCCCAGGCCCTCCTACTTCCTGGACAGCATCCATGTTGAAGGCAGCTTCAACATGGATGCTGTCCAGGAGGTTGGAGGGTCTGGGAGGGAGGGTCTGCCGGAGATTGGCAGGGATGTGTCAGCTGACCGGAGTTCGCCGCGAACTGCGGCGAACCGTTCGCGGCAAGTTCGCGAACGGTTCGCGACATCACTACTAGTGACATGTCATCTGTGTGTGAGCCGGCTGCAAAAAGAAGCTGTGCTTTCTCTGCTACGCCGAATGTGGAGGAGGAACGGGTTTCTCCACAGTTAGCTGAGACCAAAATCCCCCCTTCTAGTGCCAACACAGGCATTAATGTCAATGTGGATGACTTCTCCCCTATGCGATATATGGAGCTATTTTTAGGAGATACCATCTGGGAGGAGATTGCTCCCCAGACTAATTTATATGCTACCCAATTTATTGATACCAATCCAGATAGCTATGCAGTCAGGGAGGAGCGTGCTTGGCATCCCACAGATGTCGCTGAACTTAAAAAATTCTGGGCTCTTACAATTCTCATGGGGATTATAAAGAAGGCATCAATTCGCTCTTACTGGAGCACCAACCAAATCTGTTCTAGTCCAGTGTATTCCCAAACCATGTCTAGAACAAGATATGAGCTGCTGCTGAGATACTTACATTTCAATGACAATACCCTCTGTCACCCCAGAGATCACCCAATATGATAGGCTTCATAAAATATGCCCACTGGTAGACCATCTTCAGCACAAATTTACTGAAGTTTATACTCCTCAAAAAATGTATCTATTGATGAAACGTTAATGAAATATAAACAATACACCTCCTCAAAGCGCTTTAGGTATGGTGTAAAATTCTACAAACTGTGTGAGAGCGAAAGTGGCTCTACATTTGCCTTTCGTGTATATGAGGGGAAAGATGGTCGTCTGGACCCTCCTGGCTGTCCTGACTCTCTGGGGACAATCGGAAAACTTGTTTGGGACCTACTGATCCCCTTGTTCAATAAAGGTTACCACCTTTATGTGGGCAATTTTTATAGCATTGTCCGTTTGTTTCTAGATACTGGCCTGTGGCACTGTGAGAAGAACTGCCAAGGATACTACCAGACCTTTTATAGAGGCCAAATTAAAAAAAAAGTGAATGTAAAGGTCTGCACAAAGCTAAAGTGCTTGCAATAAAATTTAAGGACAGGAAGGATGTTAATATACTAACCACCATCCATGACGAGGCATGTCAGACGTCACTGTCCGAGGCAGAGTACAGACCAAACCTGTTTGCATCAGGGCTTATAAAATGCACATGGTGGTGTTGATTTGGCTGATCAGCTGATGCAGCCATATCTTATCTTAAGAAAGACAAAAGCCTGGTATAAAAAGGTGGCTATCTACCTGATGCAAGTAGCAACACATAATTCATTTTTACTCTTTAAAAAAATGAATCCAGAAAGAACCACCTTTCTCCAATTTCAGTTCAAGCTGATTTCCACAATAATTTATGGAGGTGGTCAAGTTCCAACAACGGTGCCAGAGGAGTCCAGACATTTTATTTTTGTTTTAAATATGTTTATTGTCAGCAATATAAACACGGGTGTTGAACTTGGTATCATTAATGCATATAGTTGCCTACGCAGAGGCGTGCACATTGAAAGTGTATATAATGTGAGGCCGACATATTCCAGTTAACTCAGAGTAACACATAGTTGCCTGCGCAGAGGCGTATAAGTCAAAATAAACACACAATGACAAATATTAGACATTTATAAGCCTTGCAGAGCTAGACATGCAGAAGGTGGTGAGCTTGCTTGGTATTGCGTTGTTAGGGCGTTGTTGTCAGGTATGTAGTGGCTATTAGGGGTAGCAGTTAGTATCATGTATTCAGCTATCGTCTCATTAAATGGTGTTAGTGTGGCTCGTTAATAATACCCCGTTTTCTTCTGAGATGCCTGTGTTTGCATATTTATCCCTGTTGCCGTAAACTGCAGTGAAGGCCCATCTTGCGAAAATGAGTTGGTGTTTACGCGTTCTGGTCTTTTGTCTGTAGCCCTGAGTTCTAGTGTGTCTCGTGGCTACCCGCTCATGTATATTGGGGTTGTATTTGTTTTGTATGTTTCGTGTCCTTCCCCTCTGCTGGTGATGGTGAAACCTTCTGCGGTAAGTCTGTGTCACCTCTATTGCGTGTTTCCATGGTTATGTCTATGTTGTGTTGCTTTATTCTGGAGCTCTGTGTGTCTGCCTCTAT